GAAGTCAGAAATATGGAAGGTTCACCTCTGTGTGTGCCCCATGCAGTAATCCCCAAGTACATTCTGATTTATTACTTTCCTCTTTCTCTCCCTTTCCCCTTTCTCCCTCCTTTCTCCTCCCTCTCTCTCTCTTTCTCTCTCTCCCAGCCTCCCTCTCTCTGTCGCTCTCTTTTTCTCTATCTCTTTTTTGTTTCTCACCCTGAAAAGGGAGATAGGGAGATAAGCAAGTAGCTCAGCAGGGAATTTCTACAAAGAAGAGGGTGGTGACCTAGTATCCGGGAGCTCATGCTTGTGATCAGTCTTGTGTCCATTGACTTCCTGTCCTTGTTTGTGACAGCAGCCAGGGTTGCACTGGCAAGAGCCAACCCCAGGCTTCCCAGCTCTCTGAAGTCCAGACAATCCTGACTTTACCCCCAGTCACCTCCACCTCTCCCTTGCTGCAGTTTGGAGGAACTTACTGAAAAATGTTTGAGACTCTGTCATGTGTGGGTGGCCAGGGGCTGTTTTCCATGCCAGATAGCAGTCCTGTAGAAACCGTGAAATTGATCTGCAGAAGGAAAAACACAACCCAATGTGGTCCTGGAGTAAGGATATGGGTTTGCCTGTCACTACGTTGGTAGACAGCCAGCCTTGATTTCCATTCCTGGCTGCACTCTGGAAGCTGGGTCCCTGATGGCTGTGCAACAGCCACCAAAGAGGAGGTGCTTAGGGAGGACAAAACACAGCCAAGCCAGCCCTGGCATTCAGCTCTGCATGGTGAACAGGAATAAACCCATTATAAAAAGCATCATTTCAGTAGAAGAGCAATGCATTCCCACGTGTTTAAGTAAGAGTGGGTGGCGTTATTACCTTCCATGTTGGCAGATTCATCGTGAAAGTAGTCAGCCCACACCACATGATCTGAAGAGTAGGGGATACCTAGTAGTTGGACCAGGATCTATCCTTTGGTACTGAGCAAGGGTTAGAAGAAGATTCATAGGCATTTAAGAGCCCATCTCTGGGCTGCTGACAAATGCAATCTCTTTCTAAAACTGTACTCTCTCATCTGACACCCCACACTGTAATTTCTCGTACTTACATACAATAATAACTAAAGGGTAAATATCAGTGGATATCACCATGAAAAACAAGACGTGAAAAGAAGTTACCACTTACATCTTATTAGTAAAAAAATACTATGTATTATATTTTTCCATGGAGAAGCCAACACACATATAAACAAAAGAACTCTTTATTCTGTCAAGATGAGGTGAAAGCATTCATTTGAGCAGCAATACAAGAAAGTAGCATTTTTAAAACAACATTTTATTGTACAAGAGTGTGTTACTCCTCCAAAACAAAAATAAAGTAAGACAAAAATAATATGTATTGTAGTCTGGCATGGCAGCTTGTTTCCTGCATTTAGGAGAAATGGGATATCTTAAAATCCTGTAGATCTTAGAATATGATCCTTAATTTAATCATAGACAAAATCCCATTTTTGGCCTCTGTATCTACCTAATTTGGTTGTACCTGACTCTCTAAATTTGCCCTGTATCGCCTATAATCCATGTTGCCTATACCTTGTTAAACGCTTTTGAAAGAGTTTCTTGTAAGAGGAAAAGGGAGAACTTTGTGGGAAAAACAAAAAAACTCTAATTCTAGAGTAAAAACCTTTATGGACGAATTAGAAAGTGATAAAGGATGAGCCAATGGTAGCGATAGCAATAAGTGTCTATAAATTAAGCTGCAGAGTTGGGAATGGGGCCTCTGAATGATGACACTGAACTGTGGACAAGAGAGGCAGCAGAGGCTTCAACAGCCATGCCCAGGATCTTGTCCTCCCTGTGATGGGTCAAGCGAAATGCTGGGCAAGCAGGCATATGCACGTATGATGATGGGGTAGGACCGTGCGGGGACAAGGCTCAGCAAGCAAGGGGCACGATGGGTACATGAGGTCATGCTGGCTTGCGTGGCACAGTCCTTGCTTCCTTGGCAACGCTGGGTCTTATGACAAAGGTAACTGATCTCACATACCTTTGCATGTCTCGCAATGTCTACATGACTTCAGTGATGTGTGGAGCCACAGTTCCCTAGAGAAGAAGTCAATGAGGGAAGGGACCTTGTCTCTGGGCAAAGATGTTATTTTCCCCATGACATGCCTTCTCAACAAATGGATAAATGAGTGGGGCAGGGAATTCTACCTTCTAAGGTAGTAGATTTGTCTAAGTTTACAAATACGAATGGTATGTTTGGTAATAGAGAAGGAGCATGTTTTAAATGAACTTTTTACCTTTAGAACACTTTTATTTTTACAGAATTATTGTGAAGATAGCACAGAGGTTTCCTGTATACCCCACATACTCCACACATAGTTTCCTCCATTATCAACATCTTATACCAATGCGTTTTTTTTGGCCACAATTCACAAACCAGTCTTGATACATTAGTTTTAACTGACATCCATTTTTTATTGCATCTTCCTCAGTTTTTCCATCCTGTTCTTTTACTGTCACAGGATCCCATCTAAGATACCACCTTGCATTTAAAGGGCATGTCTCCTTAGGCTCCTTTTGGTTGTGACAGCCCCTCAGACTCCTGGCTTTAGATAACCTTGACAGTTTTGAGGATTACTGGTCAGGGATTTTATAGAAAATCCCTCAAGTGGGATTTGTGTGATTTTTTTTTTTTTCATGATTAGACCGGGTTAATAGGTTTGGGGAGGGAAAGGGAAGACCACACATGTAAAGTACCATTCACATCACATCACATCTTATCAACGGTACATACTATCAGTGTAACTTATCACTGTCGATATTAGTCCTTATCCCCTAAATTGAGCTGGGATTTGCCAGGTTTCACCTGTGTAGAGTTACTATTTTTCTCCCCCTTTCCATACTTCACTCTTTAAAAGAAAGTCACGGGCTTCCCTGGTGGCGCAGTGGTTGAGAGTCCGCCTGCCGATGCAGGAGACGCGGGTTCGTGCCCCGGTTCGGGAGGATCCCGCGTGCCGCGGAGCGGCTGGGCCCGTGAGCCATGGCCGCTGAGCCTGCGTGTCCGGAGCCTGTGCTCCGCAACGGGAGAGGCCACAGCAGTGAGAGGCCCGCGTACCACAAAAAAAAAAAAAAAGAAAAAGAAAAGAAAGTCACTATATGTAGTTCACACTTAGAGAGTGAGGAATGATGCTCTACCTCTTTAAGGGATGAGTATATACGTAAATTATTGGGCATTCTTCTGCATGGAAGATTTACCTATTATCTCCCAATTATTTATTCAATCATTTATATATCAGTATGGTCTCATGGATATTAATTTTATATTTTGGGTTATAACCCAATACTACCCTATTTATTTCCTTGCTCAGATTGTTCCAGCTTTGGCCTTTGGGAAGTCTTTCAGTTGTCTCCTGTGTCCCTTTAACGTATACCCATCATTGAGGTTTATTTGGTTTTCTGTGTGTGTGTATGTGTGTGGTTTGTTTGGTTTTTGAGCACTTCTTTGCCTTTTGGCACTGTAAGATGCTCTAGGCTCATCTAGTATTGATACATTTCCTGTCCTAGTCCTAGAAGCAGCCAGTTCTCCAAGGAGCCCTGGTTCCTTTTATTGGAGTATGGTATTAGAAACCAACATCTAGGTGCTGATTTTGCCATTGCTACTAGGATATTGTTGCTTCTGGGGCCTGTCAGCTGACAGAGCAAAGAAATATATGTGTGCATATCACTGTACCTAGCACATACTAAAGGGCAAGTATAAATTATTGATTTTATTATGGTTTTAAAATTTTAACCAATAACAGGAATTTCTGATTAATAGGCATGATTCATAAGTAACTCCACATCCTAATTTAGGAAAGTAAAATGACTTAAAGAGTCTGATTTGTAAAACCAGCAAATCATTGAATATTTGTACAGAGGACTGGACCCTCATGTACACACACACACACACACACACACACTCACAAAGTTGTCCCACTGGATGCAAATAATGTACAAAAGATAAAAGTTAAATTTATAATTGCTTTGAATAATTATAGACAATCCCGAAACATTTCTAGATATTAATGAATGATAACTAGAAATTAATTTTGTAATGCCTTTATTACTCAAGGTGTATAAAATGCTACTGATTTTTTTAATTTATAATTTTGACTTTTTGTGAAACTTAAATGTATGCATATAGTGTTTTATCATATTCACTTGGCACCTATAGCAAGCTTCTATACTGAGAGGAATGTTTTTTAAATTATTGTATTGCTCTTTTTCCTTTCTGAATGCATGGCGTTTGTCCTAATAAAAGAAAGATATCTATTTTCCTAGTTAAAATTTAAGACTCACTGGGCTTCCCTGGTGGCGCAGTGGTTGAGAGTTCGCCTGCCGATGCAGGGGACACGGGTTCATGCCGCGGTCTGGGAAGATCCCACAGGCTGCGGAGCGGCTGGGCCCGTGAGCCATGGCCGTGGAGCCTGCGCGTCCGGAGCCTGTGCTCTGCAACGGGAGAGGCCACAACAGTGAGAGGCCCGCGTACAGCAAAAAAAAAAAAAAAAAATTAAGACTCATAGTGGAAGAATGTTGAAAGAAAGAATGAAGAAACAAGAGAATGAGCAAAATCTCAGCCTCCAATGTGCAAAAACAGGATTTTGCTAGGTTTTGTGAGAGGAGAGTTTCCAAAACCTTTGTTTCCTTTAACGTAGCAAAAGCTGAATGTGGAGGACCCAACTGTTGTCTTCCATAGTGAATATTCTTTCCACCTGTGACCAGAGGAGGATATGAGATAAAGGAGGTAAAAGAAAAGACTGCTGCTTTCTGCCCCAGAATGTGGTAGGAAGCAAAAGAGAACATTTATTTCGCTTTTTCCCTCTCTGGGCTTTGACTGAGAAAGTGTCCCTATACCAGCTTCATCAAGGATGGGGATGTTGCCCCCATTTGGCACTTTGGGAGGAAGTCACATGACAGGCTGACCCTTAACTGAGAGTGTGGCCAGGCAGAGGGGGACTCTGAGGCTTAGATTTGACAGGTTGCTCCTGGTTTCCAGGTGGTGTAAACTCAGATATTTGCGCCAAGGCACCCTACCAGAAAGCAGTGATTTAGCCTTATCATCGTAAGTTTTGCTGGCGTTTTAAATGTTTAAAAATTTACTCTCAAAGTTGTAAACATTTGAGTTAGAGTCTTAGACCCATTTACTAAGTTGCATGAAAGCGAGAAAGAGCATGGGATTCCAAGTCCAAAGGCCTTAAGTGTGATGCTCGGGCTGTTACTTGTGTTTTGTGTGACCTCAAATGAGCCCCTGCACCCTTCTCCTCAGCTTTGCCATTTGTAAGGCGGGAACCATAAGGGTAATCATCTCTTATGTCATGAGGATTCAGTGAAATAAGGCATGTAAATTGATCGGCATAATCCCTGAGCCCTGATAAGGACACAATAAAGAAGAAGACATTTTAATCATTTGAAAATAATTAGTTAGCAAATGCCTATTATGTGCCAGCTACTATTGCAGGTGCTTGAGACACCAAGCACAATTCCTATTCTGAATATGTTCTAAAGTTGCAGTGAGGACAAATAATAATAATAATAATAGCTAACTTTTGTTAAATACTTACTGTGTTCCAGGCACTCTTTTAAGCATTCTACCCATATTAACTCATTTAATTCTCTCAGCAAGACTTTTGAATGGAACTCCATTTTATTTTGAGAAAATAGAGGTACAAACAAGTTAAACAACTTACTTTACACCACAGTATAGATAGTGGTTGATGGAACTGGGATTCGAACTCAGGCAGCCAGAGTGTCCTACATCCATGGTCATTACCACTATGCTATAACATATCCTTAAAACAAGGCCATGCACCTGAAACAATGCCTCTCCAAAATGATATAACACCCAGAAAGGGTTTAACGCATTTTCATTATGATTTGGCTTAAAATATTTTCATTAGGAAATTATTCCTAGATGATTTTTTTTTTTTTTTTTTGGCTATGCCACACGGCTTGCAGGATCCCAGTTCCCTGACCAGGGATTGAACCTGGCCCCCAACCCCGGCAGTGAAAGCCCAGAATCCTAACCACTATGCCACCAGGGAACTCCCCTAGATGATTATTTTATTTGACTCTTAGATTCGTTAAAAGTGTGTTGCTTGATTTTCAAATATTTGAATTTTTCCAGGTATATTATTATTTATTTCTAATTTTATTCAATTTTGATGAGACAGTATATACTATATGACTTCAATACATGCAAATTCATTGAGACTTATTTTAGGGCACAGCATATATCTTAGCAAGTGCTAGAGTTGTCTTATGCATTACATCTGTGCATGTTGTAAACTCCATAGCCTAATATTACCATTTTTTCTTTTAGCAGTCATATGTATTTTAAAGGAAATGTAGCTGTTTTTATTCACCTACATATTTACTGTTTCCAGTTTGGTTTTTTTTTTCTGACCTTTTCATCTGTCTTCATTCCATTTCATTCTTGAAGAACTTTCTTCAGCATTTCCTGTAGTATAGTTCTGCTGGCAGCAAATCCTATCAGTTGTCATTTATCTGCTATGTCTTTATTTTCAGCCTCATTTCAAAGAGTCTGTAGTTGTTGTTGTCTGGATATAGTTTTTTTAATCTTTTCCCCCAAGTATCATGCTTCAAACAGTGCAGTTCATAAATTGTAGAAACGCTGGATTCTGTTATCTTCCTTTGATGTGTATTTATTTCTTTAACAGACTATTAACTTGACTGAACTCAAATTCCAAATTTTAGCTTTCCTGTGGTAGGCATCAACTGAAATCTCTACTTTGTTTACCTCATCTGGGAGCTGGCATCTACCCTATACCTTCATAGTTCAGAGGGCAGCCAGAAATTTGTGTAGAGTTTTTATATGCAAAACTTGAGTCTCCTTCTTTGACTTTCTCCTTTCTTGGTTTCTCTACTTAATTTTTTCCACTCCTTTCATTACAATAACTCTCTCCACTGGTTCTTCAAGGAGTTAAAACCACATGTTTTACAACTGAGTTTTACCTACCTGATGTGATACCAACTGGGGCCTAGTCTTAGACAAAAAAAAAAAAAAAGTTCAATCATAAACACCCACCCTTGTTTCTGACTCCTTTTGGTTGCTCTCATATGCTTTCAGGATATTTTTTTCCAGAGTTTATATTTGTTATCTACTAACTTTTATCTAATAACTTGATTAGCAGCAATTGGAACTTCCCCTTCCAATATTCTAAAGTGTATGATTATTTCTTAATACATCTTATTATGATTTCCCTCTAGGGCACATTTTGAAAAGAAGGAAAATTTTAAAACACAAAGAGAAGACCAAGGAGTTTGAGTGGAGGGGTCAGGGTATTCTTTAACCCTGGAGAGGGCAGAGGAGTGTGTATATGTGCATGACCATGGGTCAGTACAGTGAGATGGGTAGAACTCTGGTCCATGGATCTGCAGGCAGCAAGGACAACATGTTATGGCTTGGATATCTGAAACAGCAGAGGTTCCTGTGGTACAGAGTGGGCAGAGGGTAATTTATGATAAGAGATATAAAAGATGAAGTTCATTCCATAGGCAGGGTCTCAGATTGTACAGAGAATTTAGACTCATTCCAAGGAGTTGTACTTACATTCATAAGCTCATTGATAAGTGTAAAGCTAAGGAGTAACATGATTCCATGAGCATTTTAGTTAGTTCACTTAGACAGCTATTCAGAATGAAAGAGACAGAATGAGAGTAAGACCAAAGGCAAAGAGACCAGTCAGAAGATTTCTGCTATGTCCAAAGAGAGAGCAAAGAATTTTGTAATGTGCTATGGGAGTTAATGCTCATGGTAAGAATCAGGAAATAATCCACAATAAACATAACATTCAAATTAGAATTGAATGGTATGATGTTACGAACAGAATTGTGTCCCCCCCCCCAAATTCATATATGGAATCTATAACTCCTGATGTGACTATATTTGGAGATGGAGCCTTTAAGGAGGTAAATAAGATAAAATAAGGTCTATGGTGAGTCCCTAATCCAGTAGAACTAGTGTCCTTATAAGAAGAGGAAGAGACACCAGGGATGTCCATACACAGAAAAAAAGACTATGTGAGGACACAGTGAGAACACAGCCATTTGCAAGCCAAGGAGAGAGGCCTCAGGAGAAATCAACCCTGTCAACAACTTGATCTTGGACTTCCAGCTTCCAGACTGAGACAAAATAAATTTCTGTCATTTAAGCCATCCAGTCTGTGATATTTTCTTATGGCAGCCATAGCAAACTAAGATATGTGGGTTGTTCTTAATTTTTAGAATTTTTTCCCATCCATACAGCCATCACTTCTTCCATTCATTTGATAATTCTTTATTGAGGATCAGTTATTTGCCAGCAACTCTGTTCCATGCTAGGGCACATAAATGAAGAAGACATGATAGCTAACGTAAATACCCTGTCTTCTTCTGTCCCTCATGCCCCTCCCATCTCCACTTTCCCTTCATCTCATCTCTCTTGTTCCTCTTCATTCTCTCAATAATAATAGTAGTGACATTTGTTCTCTCCCTGCAGTGATGGTAATCATTAACACTGGCCAACAGCACATCCAAGGAGAAAGAACCCAATTTAATTACCCCCAACCTGCAATTCCCAGTAGATGCCTCAGTCTGTACACCTCTTACAGCTGTTTGGAAAATGATCAAAGTTTTCTGTTGAAATCCACAGGAAGATACCACAATACCCACGCACTGTCATTGTATTTCCCTTTTCAGAGGAGGTATGCGTTGAGGATGTTTATGAGCATCTGTAATCACAAACTACTCTATCATGACACCAGCAGGCAGTCTTAACCCAATGGTCACAGAAAAGGTAACAAGCCAAGCGACAGCATTTCTTTATTTCAACCCTGGCTATCATCCAGCTAGGGTATTTTCAGGGAGTATGTATCCCTGTCAGTGGTATTTAAATAATACTGGAGATTTTTGATATCCACATTTTTTTCCTTCAGTGATTTACCTTCAGTGTATGTAGCTAGGGAATCCAATCACGGAATAAGGGATTATAAGATTAAACAACCTGTTTCACAGAAGCAGGCTATTGCAATGTTCAGAACATGGATTTTCTAATCAGGTAGATCTGGATTCAAATACCTACTCGTCTTACATATGCAGTAGGGAGTTCACCCTTTTCAGCATCCGTTTTCTCATCTATAGAATGGGGATTAATGACATACTGTTTATAGAGTATAATGCCTAGCACATGGTAGGTGATGTAAAATTATTAGTGTCCTTCCTCCTGCTTCCCTGCAAGCCATTCCTAGCATGTCCTGTGGTTGAATCTGTTTGAATTATGGTGAGATTACCTTAAGGGAACTTTCTTACCAGCCTGATCAGCAAAAGACCCAGGGGGCTGAGGTTGGCTCCATTCAGCAGACACGTGTCATGTTTGTTATAAAGGCACCAACCCCTTGAGGGAACCTCAAACCTCCTTCTCTCCCATAGAATCTGATATTCATGCTGCTACATCAAAAGGTTGGGGCAACTATTATGTATTAAAATGTGTCATTTTAAATTGCTTTTTTTTTGCTAGCACTAGCAATATAGATATTGGAATTTCTTCAGAAAGTGCTTATCTCATCAAGACTAAAATTATAGTATATGAAATACTAATTACAGTATTATGAAGAAGGTTGAACTTTTCTGTGACATTCTGTCTATTAGGAGAATACTAATTTTCTCTCTTTCTTAAGGCAGATAGAGCTACCCATTATAAGAAATGTGATACTCCACCACTTCCTCTATTCTCCAGTGCCATTTTCCCAGAGTGGCAGGATAAGAGCTATGACTCTTGGTCTTGGTCTAAGTCATTTGAACCTTTTCATCTGCTTCCAAAGAAGTACTAGAAATTGTAACCAAATATGCCCAAGACTGAGTTCTACTGCAGTGGGAAATACATTGGGGAAGGAGCTCTAATCATTATTCACAGAGGCAGACTATTTATAATTCAAAATGTATTTTAGACTAAATAAGTTAATACTTTCAAAACACTTGCAACTTTGCCTGGCTCATAGTAAATGCTCACTAAATATTACCTGCTATTAGGACTTTGCCATTATTATTTTAATCTTATGTAACCTCACAGCACTTAAGACCTTTTACTCACATTTTCCAATATAAATGACTTGTTTGAGGTCAGAGAGCTAGCAAGCTGGGGAGATAGAGCTCGACCTGGGATCCTATGAACACAATTTTTATTTAGTCATTCATTTATTTAACAAGTATTGGGTGCCTGCTATGTACCAAACACTGTTTTATCTGGGCACACAAAGATAAACAAGACTCAGTGCCTCTCCTTCTAGAGCTCCCTATCCATGGGAAAAAAAATGAACAAGCAACCATCTGGTGGGATGCCATCTGGTCAGAAGCATAATAGAGCAAACCAGAGCAGAGCCACAAGCATCCCTGCCTTCCTGCTTCCCAGGATGGGTGAGGACCAACTGAGGAAGGAGCCCTTTCCTCTCTAGGTTAGGTCATTTTATTGGCCTGCACTCATTTTCTTGTCTGAAAAACAAGGGTTTGAAATGCT